ACCTCTCTCCCATTTACCTCCTCTCTCCTCGCTCTGCACTGGCCCGGCCAGCTTCAGCAATCTATGAGTCCCCTGGGCTGGAAGTAGATCCCATAAGGTGCCCTGACCAATTCTCCTGGCCTTTGAGGGGGAACAAATTAACAAACAGGGGAAAAAATAAGCTACCAGCTCCCCTACGCCAGGAACTCAGGGTTGGCACAGCTCCTTTTCCTAAGCACAGGCATAAGGGGTCCACAGACTTTGAGTGCCTTCCACCCCTGTATAGACTTGTGTAGACTCATCTGAACAGCATAAGCCCTCACTACCACAGTAAAACAGGGTAAACACCTGAGGTCTAACTTCAACTGTTTCATCTGTGAAGTGGCAGATTTGTGACACTTGACACTGCTCTGCCCTTTAAGCAGGCGCCTTACCTGTCCACATCAGGGGCTTGAGGACTGGTGTCTACACTCATGCCACCTGCTACAGGGGTCCAAGAATATGTGGTCCAGCCCAGTCCTTACAGCCAACAGAGGAGGGTGCTCATAGTCTGGCTGCAAAACTCACCTACCTCGCTCTAGGGAACAGAGACACACTTTCCTTTCAGACATTCAGGGGCAGCTGTCAGCCCCCTGCCTTGCTCAGTGCATGACCCCCTTCTGCAGCCAGATACCTGTGCCTACACCAATCACCCATGCCTCTCTAAGACTGTAGGTGAGAGCCTGCACCACACACTTGGTGACCGACTGCCTGGACACCGGACCTGAATCCATACAGCAAAATTTAACACACTCCTGGGCACACCTACTTAGTTACAGACCTAACTACCTGGTGACAGGACTTTAGAGCTTCAAAAGAGCCAATAATCAAAGTAGCACACATGAGCAGCCTATCTGGGCATATCAAAACAAAACAAAACAAGAAGCTAAGACACACTAAACAAATATAAAATAAAATTATAATAACTCATTGACGGCTCAGAGAAAAAGTCAATATCAAATCAGATAAAGAGGCAGTCCATGATGGCTTCAGCAAGCTCCAAAAATAAGAATTAATAAATTTTCTGGAGGAAGAGAATTTCTTGGAATTACCAAGGCAGAATACAAAAGATTAATATACAGAACTCTTCAAGAAATTAGAAAGGAATTCGACATAATGAAGAAACAGCCAAAGAACATACAGACAAAGAAGTAGCAGAACTTAAAAAAGTTATTCAAGAGCATAATGACAAATTTAATAGGCTGCAAGAATCCAGAGAGAGACAGCAATCAGAAATCCAGAAGATTAACAATAAAATTTCAGAATTA